AAGAAAATATTTATATGAAGTGCAGTGTTCTCCACGAGGGGTTTCAGCAGGGCGGTCCGAACTGCCAAGATTTTAGACCCTTCTATTTTGTGTATTGGATTTTCTCTTGGTCTTCACAGGTTTATCTAATTTATGGAAAGAAATTTCCCACACTTTATGGAACAAACATGATGAGTTTGCCATCATAATTCAGCACAACAGTTTAGCACTTTGCAGTGCTTGTGATCACAGCCTGACACAGTATAGTACATAAGAACAAAATTCTGTACTGGTTCCAAGCTCCCGGTCATAGCATTTTTATTTTGTCGCGTCAAGAACCAATACCTTGAATGCATGTTTTTCCTCGGAAAATACAGTCAATTTCCTACATGGAGTTCTGGATTTCTCCTAGATCTGCACCACTTGAAAAAAAAGTTCTTTTCTTCTGCTTCTGAAACTATTTCTTTCTTACAAGTTCAGTTAAAAAAAAAGGTGAAATGTAAGCTTCTTGTACAAAATTTTGGTTTCAGAAAATGTCTTGAAAAGAAATTTTCTGCCGGTTAGATTTCCATTTCGAACTTTGACAGTTTTTGTTTGTCGGTTTGTAAAAAACACGAGAGCCAAAAATTCGACCCAAAAATACATGTACATGTAGTTGTGGATTTAACTGTAAGTGCAAGCACGTACTGTGTAGGTTGCAAACTACATGGGCGTTGGCTGAAAATGGATATTTCGCATGGTTACTTTTTATTCGAGAAAATAAAATTGTAGCTATTTGGAACTGGTTAGACCGATTCAGAATTAGAAAAAGTGTTGTCACTTTTGACAATCCTGTAAGTCCAAATTAAAAGTTTACATTTTGAAAATAACGTTGTACTTTTCCAATACACGAGGTGGACTACTGACTATATTTCACTAGACTTAGGCCTATAGGATTTTGCCGCTGTAATCTGACCATGGATGGTGTTATTATTGAGGTCCGGAATTAGGGAAGCGATGTACTGTACATCATCCACTGGCACTGTGCCCACATACATGTACGTACATGTAACCCCGAACCATCCACTTGATGGCAAGATCCGATCAGTAACAAAAAAGAAAATGTCCCAGAAAAAAAAACTTTTGATGACCTTCCAATAACATTCTTGCCTTCATTTCAATTGTTACCAGTAAATGTACCAGGAGCAAATTTGATTCAAGAAGAAAGTGCCCAGGAAATACCTCCTGTAGCACCACAGATCATCCAGAATCCAAAATTTCCTGGGGCCCTCGAGCCGGTCCAGGACCTCATGCTGTAATGGCTTTGTGCTCCGCACTCACATTGTGTGCCGCCATGCTATAATTTTAGGTTGTGGCAAACACTGAAGTCCAACAAACTTCATGCAAGACGAAAATAATGTATCAATAAAGAAACACAATTTCCATATAGGTATACATGTAGACTGGAGGTAAGCTATAGAGGGCTGGGCCCTATTGTTTTTCATACATGTACGTGAACAGGACAAAAAACAAAATGAGGTGGAAGGTACATGTACATGTAAGTTCTCTAACTCATTTAGACAAAGCCTTTCAAAGTATACACTTTCATAGTTCACACATCGCTTGTTTAATCATGTACGGGGGTAGTATCAAATTATGTGATAGCCAACACCTCCAGTTTTGTACATGTACATATATGGGTGTGCACAAATAATTTCAAGAGTACTGAGGTACATGTATATGTACTATTACATGTACTCCCAATGACTGTCAGGTGCATCACAGCTTAAACAATCATAACGCAGCTCCTCTTTTCCTTCTTGTTTTCCTGACCCCATCAAAATGAAAGCTGAGCTATGATTAGTCACTGGAATGGAAGCAAATTGGGCCATTTCATAATGTAGCTTTCATCTGCGTGTTACAGGAAAACAAGAAGGAAAAGATAGGAGCTGTGTTGCGATTGGGTCAAGCTGTCATGCAGCTAACAGTCTTTGATAGGACAAGCTGATGATTTTCTGTGATGTGTGGATGGGCAAAATATTCAAGAATTTCACCATTTTTTCACCACTTCTGATTTGAAGGGGCATATCTCTTTTCTTCCCAAATGTGAGTAAACCTTATTATTATTATTGAGAACTCTGATTCTCACTTAATCCTAAGCCGTGTGCATTAGACAGTTTAAGGACCATTTTGGAGGTGAGGTGAGGATTTTGATTTGGGGTACTGGTAATGAGCTACATTTTGAGTGAAATGAATTAATGGAAACAAAACCCTATGAAAGGTACTTGGACCCTACTATCGCCTGATCATGTCCGCATGTTAAAAAAGGCGATTTGTAGGGTCCAAGTTACTTGGACTAGATGAAGTAGGCCTTGGCCCCGTAATGACTTTGCAGCTTTGAGTTCTCGAACGTGTCGAAGAAGCCTAGGCATGCTACATCATAGGACACGTAGGTTCAGTCTAGGTTACAGTCATGACAGTAAGACAGTAGAATTTTGAACATTAACTTGTATATTTTGGCAGAAAAATGCCATTTCAATCAAACTGGTAAGTATAATAAGATTACGACAAACTCAACTTGAAACACTTCAATAAATCACGCTACACAACAAACATAACAAAAGTCAAATGCATTTTTTTACTCACAATGATTGTGACGGCAGCCTCACCCCAGCGGAATGCACACTGAAAAATCCATACATGGTGAAGAGTAAGAGCACCGAAAAAACTTCGAAAATCGTCCTTACTGCAGCCATGATAACGTCAATAAAAGACACCAGAGGGAATGAGAATTTATAAATTGATAATCAAAAGATCATTGTAGCATTTGGGCACGGGAAGGACGTTGAAATTATGCCATTTCCAGGTCTCGTTCTGTCCTGGGTCCTCTGCAATTTCGCTGAAGTCATGTCACGAATAGGCCGATGTATTCGTAACGTACAGGTACAAGGTACGTCACGACAGCTCTGGCGACGTAATTTCTGGTGACAATCTTACCACACAAACAGGCTGCTGTTTAGTGGGTCGGGATGCCAGACGTAAAACTTGCCAAGCGCGATTAGACGTTATTCAAGTCTTTATTCGACAGTGGCCCCAATGCAATCATGACATTTTATGAAGCTATCATAGTCCTCCCGACATGCCATGAGCCTGCAGAATCTTTGAAAAACGCACATTTTGTGCCAGAAGTTTTGCCTGCATCAAAATGGATGGAAGGAGTAGAAAAGTACAGTGGCATAACTGTGACAGTACATTTTGCTGGGGGTACTGTAGTGGAGCCCTCAATTTCTACAGGGGGCACTCAAAGGGCTCGGTCACAATTATAGAACACTAACAAAGGCAAACTCTTATCAGATTGTTTTCCTTCTCTGATTTTGGGGGGGGGGAGGGCAAAGGGAAGGGGATGGGCTTTAAACGGGCCTGTTCCCACCCCCGTAGTTACGCAACAGCATCCAGACAAAAGGTGACGCTTTTTCCGGTGACCTCTTGTAATTTTAATGACATGTTGCCGTGCACTTAATTTTGCCGACACGAATGACTTAGGCCAGAGTAGCTAACTCGAGTCATGACTTGGACCATAGAGGAATAAAACAATGTGTTTTATTCCTCCATGCTTGGACTCAAGTCGCTTTTTTGTGACTTGACTTGTAAATACCAGCTTTGACTTGTGACTTGACTTGGACTCGACCGGCACCCTATATTTTTTAATTAAGCTATTCAGTTTACGCCTTACGTAAGTAAAAAAAAATGGACGTCGGCTTGCGCGGCTTCTATTTCATCTAGCTGCAGCTGTACGACGCTGCTGAGTTGCGTTGCGTCGTTGACGTGTGACTAGGATAAACAGCGCCCTCAATATGCCATCATTTAGGTCGCGTTCAGGCGGCCTGCTGTGTTCTTGACACGGGTTTCTTATTCTCGCGCTCGAACGGCGGGAACACGACACAAGAACCTTGTTCTCGGAACAGGAAACCTCTTTATCAGGGTTTCACAGGAACACAAGGAAAAATTCGTGAGATTTTGATTTTTTTAACAGCTGCAAAAAGTAGGGAGATGGCATGCAAAGCCACAGACAATGGGAAGTTTTGCAAAATTAACATTGATTATTTTCCATAACACAGAAATGAATGCTCCTGTTTCAGCCCATCCAAACATTAACTCTCGAATAACATACCTGGACGCCGCCATTTTGCATGTTGCTTACCATTATAGCTGCCAGCAGAAATAACCGGTTGTAAGTTCAGGGCACTCGAGCGGCCGACCTATGAACAACGAATCGAGCTGTTCGTGAACATACGAGAACAAGCCGCGTGAACTCAGCCACAGTCTCAACGCTTATTTCCACCCTGCAAAGTACATTAAATAAACAGAGGTCTAATATACAACAGATACGAGATAAACTGCAAGAATAGTAATTACAACACAAGTGAGAAAGGGCACTTACGGAGGCATTTTCAAATGCCTCCGTAATTATATGGAGAAAAGGTGTTCAGCTGTCCGAAACTCATAACTCGTAATTTCGAACGCCTGGTTCTTTTTGTTTATTACAGCTGGACAAAATAACGTGCAGCTTGACTTGTACTTGGACAAGAAACTTGTGACTTGACTTGTGTTTAGACCAAATGACTTGTGACTTGACTTGCCCTGTGGCCAACTGACTTGGACTTGCAAAAAATGACTTGCTGTCACCTCTGCAATAGGCCTAAAGTATGGTGTTCCATATGTGCCAGTCGTATTTTTCGACGGGCGTCGCATTTTTGCGACTGGCGTCGGATTTTTCAACGGGCGTCGCATTTTTCAACGTGCGTCGCATTTTTCAACGGGCGTCGCATTTTTCGACTGGCGTCGCATTTTTCAGCCGGCGTCGCATTTTTCGACGGGCGTCGCATTTTTCGACGGGCGTCGCATTTTTCTACTTGCGTCGCCTGTTAATGTGAATAAGCCATT